GGTCAAAGAAAACCTTTATAATTTCATGATTTTCTTGTGCAGTCTCAGAATGACCGGAAGCCAAAATAAGACTTGGGTCGAGGTTGTTTAGTCAAAGGTGCTTCAACAAATTAATGTTCAATTACTGTGTCATATAGCTAGCTTATAAAAGCTGACATTTTCATCAATTTCAAAATGAATTTGAGATGCAAATTTATAACTATGCAGAAAGTTACCTTTTTTCTGTACCAGCACTTTCTCGGGGAATCTAAAATAGATCATTTATATTTTGATATTCATGGCCCAGAGAAACGAACACGACTGGCCCTTGGTCTGGATAGAGCATCATTAGATGGATTAGACAGGACACAGAGTACTCTCATGTCAAGCAAGGAAGGAAAAGGACAGTTGACGACTTTGATGTAAATGTCATTAGATGTGAAATCTTAAAAATGTTAGAGAAATCAAATTGTTACTCTCTGAAAACTGAAAATAACATAGAAATCACAATGCAGAATTGACATTTCAAAAAACAGTCTGTGGAAAATTGTAAGAGCCACAGGGTTCATCTTCAACAAAACTGTAGATGGAAGGAATATTATTTGTGAAAAGCTACATCTGACTGCTAGTCAAAGCAAATACCTGAGGCTGATTAGTGAGCGACGGATATAAGGCTATGATATTGTATATCTGGATGAATCCTGGGTTAATGCTCTCTATACTTATGCTAAAGAATGGTAGCAAGTAAACGGTAAACAAACAAAAAACCATTCCAAGAAGCAGAGGCTAGCGCATTATACTCAATTATTCAAGAAGCAGTGAAAAAGGCTTTATCCATTATGTTGGACTTATTTTCCATTCAAAAAGTATGTATGGTAGGGACTAATACACTGAATTAAATGATCACATTTTCAGGCACTGGATGGATAGCGATCTTCTTCCAATTCTGGACAGACCATCATGCCTAGTAATGGATAATACCACCTATCATAAAGCCATATCAGAGAAAGACAAAGTACCAACGACATCAAATACAAAAGATCAAATTAGGACATGGCTTGCTAAGGAGAAAGTCAACTTTGACGACACATTTTTAAAGGTTTTTTGCAGGTTGAGAGGAAAACAAATAAGACAAATGTGTATCACACTGACAAAATCATTAATTAATCTGGCCACACTTCTCTATGACTCCCTGCATATCATTCACACCTCAACCTGATAGAGCTGGTGTGGGCTTAAGTCAAAAGACAAGTTGCTGAAAAGAACAGTGCATTTAAAATGTGTGATGTTGAAGTTCTGACATTAGAGTCCCTCTCTAATATAGATATTTATTTCTGGAAAAAGTGTGCCGAGGCCCTACAGATCAGAATTATCCTACTGGTTGACGATGAGCATACATCAGGGATTATTACACACTTCCAAGAGTAAGACCAGTTCTAGCACCGAGATGGATTACAATTTGTTCAGCCAGTAACAATTATCAACCTTTTGGGATCATCGGATCCGGAATGATTAAAACAATTTCTTGATGAGTGGTTGAATATCATCAACCCGTTAGGTACATCTATAATTGCAACAAACACATCTCCATTTCCAAATGTGTCAACCATTATACAGTTTGCTGTACAGTTAAGATACACTCTGTGATCTAATGATGACCGCAGGGGAGTACTAACTGCTGCATATTGGGGACATATTTACAATTGAACAACACAGACAGATTGGCTGGATTTGCATCACTGCCCTGGATAGTGAGCTGATGCTTGACAAGGCAGATTCACTGCATTCACTGGCTGTAAACCCTGACGGAAAGACCCGGTTGTTCATCCATTTCTGGACTTCGGCTTTGTTCCAGGACCTGAGTTTTGCATGTGCATCCATTTTACAGATCTTGCTTATTTGTATGCAGTCTGTTGGTTCCTTGCCCTCAGGCAGATGAACTCCAACTTTTGAAGGAAGCCCCCAGTTAGTCGCTTCCTACAAAATGCTTGCTGGGGAGGCAGTGGGTCCATTCTTGTTTTCCCCACAATAGGCCCGGAATGCATAAGGGGAGCCGCCAGTTTGACATGATTGCTCTACAGGATGTTGCAGAAACAGCCCCGACAAATTTCATGGTCAGTAGTTTTCCACTGATACCCAAATGGTTGGCACTACATACAATCAATTAAATACCTTCAAAAATTGCCAGATTGCCTGCAGCTGGAATCAAATAGAGTATTTAGGGATTACGACACGTGTTCACAACATCTAAGCCACAGGCGTGTAAAGGACATTACTTTACAGAACATATAAGCAACTATATTTAGACGTGTGATATTAACTTTCAACTTTATTTTAAAGTATAAAATATAAATACATGGCAATCATTGCATATAGTTTGTTACATGAAGTATTTTTGTTCCTGTCTCAGGGGATAAAAGGTACAACTGTCTGGTTAAATACAGGCAAACAGAATGATAATAACCAAGCAACTCTTACAGAGGAATAGCTGGCGTGGTCTTTAACAATACTAGGCTCTCATGCAAGAGACCCAGGTTCGAATCCTCAGTATGGTGATATTTTTCTGCTGGGGACAAAAGTAAAATGTCAGCCTGGACAATCCATGGTGACTGCACTAGCATGTGGCCTTAAATCATCAAGCACAAGACCCCCACCCTTTCCCGCCCTAAACAGTAATAATTACAGGCAGTAAGGGAGAGAACTCTGTAAAGGCCCCTATAGCAAAGAAAAGGCAGTCAACAAGGTAAATGGTTAACCCATCTGCCCAGATGTGAATATATTTATTAAATATAGCATTTAACATGGTTTTCTTGTGAACCACATTACCTTTTTTCAAAGCCACATTGATGCAACATTTTCCTGTAGCCTCAGTCAGGGCTGTGCCGTGCTATGATAGAGAGATACGGCTGCATCAGGGGGCATCGTAAAGGGGGTAGCATAAGCAGCAAAATAACAATTCAGTTTGATCATTTAAGGGGTGGCATTTCAAAGATCCACATCACACTGAAAAAAATCTACTGCACAGCCCCGGCCTCAGTGATTGTGCACGGCATGACCCAATACCCCGCGGCCTCACAGAGGGGTAACCCAGCCTAGCAACAGGGCACCAGCGACCAGCAAGGGTTAAACCAAGCACCAGCAACAGTCAGCAAAAACCCACAGAGACAGGAGTTAGAGAGAGCCAGACCAGACCAGGACCCGGAACCCCAAATACCACCCTGGACTTAGAAAGAAAAAGAACACGAATTTCAGGTGAGACTTTACACCACAAGAATAGGACATCCAATAAGATAGCCAAGGAACCTTCCTTCATATAGCAGGCCCACGGGTGGCTGAAAAACAGATCAAGTTGGGAATTTTTGTTTATCAAATTGGAACTGGAACCGAATACCTGATACATATTGTTTTAAGGTCTCAGTAAACACATTTCATTTAATGCTTCAAACCCTGTTTATTGATAACTTTCTTTACATATTATGACGCATTTCAAAATAAAGAAAAATGTTGATGTTATAAAACAAAACCCAAAAAAAAATGGGGGGGGGGGGGTGGGGGGGGGGGGGGGGGGGGGGGGGGGGGGTAATTTGTTAATGACATAAGTAAAAATGCTTACAAGGATTAATTCGGGAATTTTTAAAGGATTGTTTCGGATTTCCCTAAGGGTTCATTGTTCCTCCCCCCTCCCCCCCCCCCCCCCTCCATTTTCAGTGTTCTCGGTGCCAAAGAGTCAACTGGTGTAGAAATTTATTAAGAGAAGAATCAGTGAAACATATCATCATCAGGTGCCCTGCCGACTGGTGTGGGCAATCATGCCTCAGTCCGCAATCTTCAGCAACATGAATCAGTTCATGTGCTGACACACCTCCATGCCATGCAACAAGACTGTCAAGCATCTTCTCTCAATGTCTTCCTCTGTCCCTCCTTCCACAGATCTTTCCAGTGGTCACAACGTTTCATTTTCCCTCTTCTCATAACATGGCCGAAAAATGATGACTGTCTCCTTCTGATGTCTGTCATATGTTGTCTTTGGGCTCTCGCCTTTTTCAAAACCCCGTGAAAAATATACAGTGGAGAATTAGATAAATACATTCCTTTGGTGAACATTAATTGTTTTGGTTAATTCAGTGATGCATCATTAAACGGCCGCTCAAAGTGAATGAAGATGTCACAGTGGCTTTAAACAAAATTTATTATCTCACAGCAAAAATCCTTTAAATGCTTTCCTGAGAAACTTAAAACATATCTGGCCCTTTTAAACACAGCACATTTCCAAACAGTACCAAAGCCGATATGTTGGCATAGCTGACGGGGATTTGTAATGGACAGAAAAGCTGAAATTTGACCTTTTTGTAGCAAAATAGTCAGTATAATAAGAACTTTAAATGCAACAATAAGCAATAGACAAAAAAGTGTTCTTTGGTCATGTAATCAGAAGAGAGGCATTTGAGAGCACTGTGATGACCAGAGAGACCAGAGGTAGAAGAGCTGAAGCAGAATAAGAGATGGTTCAAGATGGTGGCATGGGAGTATATCCTTATTAGAGCTGGTCTAGAACAGCGGTTCTCAACCTGTCGGTCGCGCCACCTTTTTTTTTGCGTCAAATGACCCTTTCACAGAGGTCGCCAAAGACCATCTCAGAACACATATTCATTGAAGTTATGAAGTAGCAACAAAAATAATTGTATGGTGGAGGTCACTATAATATGAGGAACTGTATTAAAGGGTCGCCACATTTGGAAGCTTGAGAAGCACTGGTCCAGAACATCATGGACCAATATCTGTGGAGAGACATCTATGTCTATGCCTATGGCCAGGCACATGATGATGATAAAAATATTTTTGTAAACCACGGGTAATTTATATTGCTGCTTTTGTTGCCTAAAATCTTTGTACACATGGAATACAAACAATAATCACTGATAACAAAATTAAAATCCTGTTTTGATCATATCTAACCCATCTAACTGGTCTATTTGCACAAAGAGGTCACTTTTGTGTGTGTGAAAAATATGTCAGCTCACTTATTTTGAAAGCCAGGCTGTTTCATCAAAAGGATCTATCTGCCGTTTAGTGTACGCCTGTCTGAACTCTGGGCCTAGGATATCAAGATCTCTATCATCACGAATAACACCCTGTGAACGACAGAAAGAATATTATTAAGATACAAGAACTTAAACTTGCAATAAGAATATTAGGACACAGGAACTTATCAAAAAGTACATTCGGATATAAACTTTCAACTAAAGAACATTAGGACACAGGAACTTATCAAAAAGTACATTCGGATATAAACTTTCAACTAAAGAACATTAGAACACAGGAACTTATCAAAAAGTACATTAGGATATAAACATGCAAATAAAGAACATAAGAACACAGGAACTTATCAAAAAGTACATTAGGATATAAACATGCAACTAAAGAACATTAGGACACAGGAACTTTTCAAATAGTACATTAGGATATTAACATGCAACTAAAGAACATTAGGACACAGGAACTTATCAAAAAGTACATTAGGATATAAACATGCAACTAAAGAACATTAGGACACAGGAACTTATCAAAAAGTACATTAGGATATAAACATGCAACTAAAGAACATTAGGACACAGGAACCTATCAAAAAGTACATTAGGATATAAACATGCAACAAAAGAACATTAGAACGCAGGAACTTATCAAAAAGTACATTAGGATATAAACATGCAACTAAAGAACATTAGGACACAGGAACTTATCAAAAAGTATATTAGGACTTAAACATGCAACTAAAGAACATTAGAACACAGGAACTTATCAAAAAGTACATTAGGATATAAACATGCAACTAAAGAACATTAGAACACAGGAACTTATCAAAAAGTACATTAGGATATAAACATGCAACTAAAGAACATTAGGACACAGGAACTTATCAAAAAGTACATTAGGATATAAACATGCAACTAAAGAACATTAGGACACAGGAACTTATCAAAAAGTACATTAGGATATAAACATGCAACTAAAGAACATTAGAACGCAGGAACTTATCAAAAAGTACATTAGGATTTAAACATTTAAAAAAAGAACATTAGGACACAGGAACATCAAAAAGTACATTCGGATATAAACATGCAGCTAAAGAACATTAGGACACAGGAACTTATCAAAAAGTACATTAGGATATAAACATGCAACTAAAGAACATAAGAACACAGGAACTTATCAAAAAGTACATTAGGATTTAAACATGCAACTAAGAACATTAGGACACATGAACTTATCAAAAAGTAAATTAGGATATAAACATGCAACTAAAGAACATTAGGACACAGGAACTTATCAAAAAGTACATTAGGATATAAACATGCAACTAAGAACATTAGAACACAGGAACTTATCAAAAAGTACATTAGGATATAAACATGCAACTAAGAACATTAGAACACAGGAACTTATCAAAAAGTACATTAGGATATAAACATGCAACTAAGAACATTAGAACACAGGAACTTATCAAAAAGTACATTAGGATATAAACATGCAACTAAGAACATTAGAACACAGGAACTTATTAAAAAGTACATTAGGATATAAATATGAAACTAAGAACATTAGAACACAGGAACTTATCAAAAAGTAAATTAGGATATAAACATGCAACTAAAGAACATTAAGACACAGGAACTTATCAAAAAGTACATTAGGATATAAACATGCAACTAAAGAACACAGGAACTTATCAAAAAGTACATTCGGATATAAACATGCAGCTAAAAAACATTATGACACACAGTTTTAAGTACAAGAAGACGGTTATGACAAGAGAAACAGCCCTAGCAATTTTTAGCTTTGTGTGTTTTCACTAAGCAATTTTATGTTCAGTAGTCTGCCCCTGCTTTCCGATTGAACAGCTCTCAATACTGATGTTGAAACCAACACAAAGCCATCATTGTTTCTTTAGCAGCTATTCTAATTTACAAATGACTGGATATATTCAGTTCTTCTTCTCCATTTGTGGTAAAATAGCAAACTGCACGTTGTGTTGTGGCTGACAGCGGTGCTGCAATATGGTTTTTAGCCATCACATGTGATTTTACCAAAACACTATGTTGCTTTTATGTCATGCTTGTTGAGGGGGAGTGGTTCAATCCCCAACCCTTTTCCCTCAAAAATAAGGTCCCCGAACCAACACGGAGAATGTTTAATGTTCAATTCTTGATTTGTTTGTGTGGCAGAAGTTACTAGAAACTGCATTAGAGAAACCAGCTACTCACTTTAGGTAAATATCCTAATAACTTGGTGGCATGCTCCTTGAGCAGTCTCTGTCTTTCCTCCTCAATGACTTTCTTCCTGAACTCCTCCAGCTTAGCTTCCTCCAACCTGGCCTCAACATCAGCCTCTCTCTCCCGGGCAAACTGCACTCTTCGATCCTCAAGCAGCTTCTCAATGGCTCTCTGGTGCTCCAGCTGCTTCATTCTGCGACGCTGAGCATTCATCTGTTCGATGCGATCGTCCTCTGCAAATTTAGCCAGCATCTGAAAAGAGAGACAAGCCAGCATGGAGATTAGACTGATATTACATAGAGGTGGTGCATGCGACTGTAACTTGAGAAGAGATGTGCACAAATGAGATGATTTGACAACATGACTTGTGAGTGTAATGGATTTAAAGAGGTGGGGGAAGGGGGGAGGGGGGTTGTGAGGCAGATATCACATCACATACAAAGATAAAGTGTGTGCGTGCAAATGTGCATGTATGTGTAAATCAAAATGAAGAGCACATGTCAAGATAGAGTCTATATCAAGACAAAGTGCATATATCATGATAAAGTGTGTACATCAAGAATATGGAATATATCAAGATAGTGCAAAAACACAGATAGCGCTTATATCAAGATAAAGAGCATTTGTCAAGATAATGTGTATATCAGGTTAAGGTGCCTACATTAAGATAAGGTGCATGCATCAAGATAAGGTGCCTATCTTGAGTGTGTATATCAAGATTAAATTGCACAAATCAAGATAACATGCCTACAAGATAGTGTGTATGTCAAGATAAGGTGCATTTATCAAGTAAGTATTTATACGTCAGTGTTTGTAATAAGTTAACTAAAAAGGTAAAATTATTTATATCAACAATCTACAGTTTCTATGTTTTGAAAATGAAAACTGAGGTGGGGAAAAACATCCAAATAAACTGAAGCTTTTCATAAAAACTTACAGCAATGCAAACCAGTTACATTTGGAAACAAACAACTTCCATGTTTTCATTGTTACTATACCTGTTTTCGGAACTCTTCTTCTTCTTCCTTCTCGGCTTCCAGCCTCAGTTGTTTGACGTGCATCTGTTGCGCATGAGTCATCTGCAGCTCAATCTTCTGCCTGATCTGCTTCTCAACCTCTGCCTGTGAGAGCACAAATAAAAGATTAGCCTAATCTAGAACAATATGTAAACAAATGAATAAACTAAAGGAGACTTTCCCACGCCTTTTATGTGTACTGGGCATATAGGGCTAGAACTATATTTTTTTAAAGACCAATCGGCACTCGGTGGGTGATGTGGTCAACATCAAACAGGTCACATTTAAATCCCAGGACTTTACCTGGTACCCATTTAAGGCTGGGTTGACCTGCGAGCCAGGGCCTGAACTCACCACCTTTGGATCCACAGGCAAGCATCTAGCCTCTACAACACAGCAGCTCCCAAACAAATGTAAGAATTAATCAATCATTCAATAACTGAGCCAGCAATTGACAAAACTGCACTGGGGACATTCTCACATGAGTTCATCCCATTCATCAGTAGTCAATGAAGAGTTCCTATGTTGCTGAAGCCGGTAACCAATCAGATAAATTCCTCTCAAGTTTTTAGTCAGAAGAGGGGTTTAAGTTGTTTTAAAGTGTCCATCATAATTCTAGTATTATTAAGGTACATAAACCAATTATTGGAAAATTAACGACTCATAACATCTTCCACTCCCATTTACAAGATCTTTCTTCTTCTTTGTTCCCGGGTTGTAAGCTCTGGCAGAAAGTCCTGATTATTCATCCATTTGGACTTTGGCTTGGTGCCAGGGTCTGACTTTTGCGTGTACATCTGTTCTACTGGCTTATTTGTGTGCAGTTGGTTGTTCCTTGCCGCTCAGGCAAATGCACTCTGACTTCAAAGGAAACTCCCAGTTAGTTGACTTCTATGACATGCATGTTTGGGAGTCAGTGGGTCTATTCTTTTTTTCCAGCAATAACATTTTCATTCATAACTTTCTGTTCTGTATGTAAAAACAAACTTTCATTCATAATTCTCTTTCATACTTAAAACAGACCAGCAATAACATTTTGCCCTTATAACTTTCTATTCCATATGTAAAAACACATTAGCAATAAGGCTTTCATTCCTAACTTCTCTTTTATATTTTAAAATAGACCAGTAATAACATTTTCATTCAGAACTTTCTCTTTTATATTTTAATATAGAACAGCAATAACATTTTTATTCAAAACTTTCTAAAACAAATGATAAGTAAATACTCTTCTTTCATAAGTGATTATGAATGTTCAGTGTCTACATACCATTTCCCTCTGTCTCTCCCTCTCTTCTTGTTCCTCAAAAACCAGCTCCATCCTGATCCTCTCCATCTCCTCTCGTTCAGCTTCTTTGCGTGAAATCTCTGTAGCCAGCTAAAAGTAACAAAAGGGACAATCATTGCAATGTAATTTTTGGTTTATCCATGCATTAGAATTTTGATGTTTGCCCTCAGCAGACACATTTCTATCTCACCTAACCGAAGATTCAAAAGCCAGGTTCACAAGGCTCAGTCATAAAAGAGTAACACAGATGTTTTGACAGAGGCAATGGCCCGAAGACAACTTACCATAGTGCACTCACAAACTGAACAATGGCTTCTTCTTTCTTTCTTTCTTTCTTTCTCTCTTTCTTTCTTTCTTTGCTTCTTTGCATGCACTTTACAACTCATGCTTTTGTGTTCTTTTATAATATTCATAATATGCATATCATCATATGATCATAACATGCTTTATTAGTAAAATACAATTGCTGTGTGAAAGATGGTTGACTGGAAGGGCCGAATGTAAGACGGGCCTGCGTGCCCAATTTGTGACCCTTTGAAAATAAAGTTCGTTCGTTCGTTTGTTCTTTCTTTCTTTCTTAAATTTATTTATTTATTTCTGTTCACCGTCTGTGAATTCCAGGGGGAAAGTCCTGCTTGTTCATCCACTCGGACTGTGTCTTTGTAGCAGGACCTAAGTTTTGCGTGTACATCCATTTTACTGGCTTATTTGTGTGCAGTTCTTGTTCCCTGCCTCTCGGGCAGATGTACTCCAACTTCGAAAGAAGTCGTCATTTATATCTCCATAAAGACTGTTGCCATTTGTTTCGTGGAACATGATGATGCTTCATTTGTGGGGTGTCCTCTTTGTCCCTTTGTCTACAGATGTTGCCCCTAGAGAACCCCTTTTGGGAAACCTTGTGTAGACTGGTCAGCCCTCAAGCAAAGGCAGGGGCAGTTCAAGGGCATTCCCGGCCATCCAAGGAGGGTTCCATAAATGCAGAGCCGACACACATGATGATCTGGTCCTGGGCTCACCCAAGGAATCCTCACGTTCTGCACATGACTGCATTAACTTCACAACCGTATGTTGAGCTTTCCACTCGTCAAGGTGATTGGCAGTGAGAAGCCCACAGGTCTAGTCTTCAATGACCAAACAAATAGGTACATTCTTCTTCATCCCGTTAGATACCTTTAACGTTATTTCAACTGTGCCCTGAGCACGACAGTGTGGAGAGGCATACCCCAGGCATGGGTTTCCTTGTGTGGTCCCAACACTCGGGCAAGTAGGGCCAGTGGATACGGACATTTGAACCTTTTTGCCAATTAGTAGGATTTGTGACGGTCGGACATTGAAACTTTGATTGTGTGCCATTTGAGGCTAACCAACAGACTGACAGTGGCTGTCACGGTGAGGACGACGCTGAGGGATGAAAAGGATACACCAAGACAGGATTCTGTCGTGAAAAAAGCACCCACAGGAGACGCTGCTCATCTAAGCTGCTGGCAAATCTCTTGGTCTAGGGCCCAGTCTCAGCAGTTTATTTCCCTTTCACTTGACAGACTTTTAACCTAGAGCTGTCATTTAGTGGTACATTCGGCAAGTGGACTTTCCTCATGTTCCAAATGAGTTTTGATAGACGTTTTCACCCATGCATGGGGGTGGGCTGATGAGAGTCAGACTGGACCCTACATCTCTGGGGGCCACCAGCTCCGAGGTCCCATGCCAGCTCTGTTAATGCTCCTTTGAGACATTATCCATGGCGCATGACGGGGACGTGCAGCAGAAGTCTTGCATTAGGTTCTGTAAAACCAGCACAGAGAAGGCTGGCACCCTAGGTGAGGTACGGAGTATCTCCTTATACATATCCCATTTGACTTAACTTTCCCTCCCGCCTGTGACCAGAATCACCGCACCACCAATGGCTTCTAAAAATGAACCTATGACATTCCGAGCGTAAGACAAATGGCCTAATCATTTCATCACTGTAACTTTGAGCATGCAATAAATATCATCACCATTAGCAACATGACCCTGCGATAAGTTTAAGCAGTCAAGTCTCATATGATCACCAGAAGCATGGATCAGGTCAGTACTATTATCTCACTGCATCCATATAGACCAGCGGTTCTCAACCTATGGGTCGCGACCCTTTTTTGGGTCAAATGACCCAACAGGGGTCACCTAAGACCATCGGAAAACAAATATTCACTGAAGTTATGAAGTAGCAATGAAAATAATTGTATGTTTGGGGGTTGCCACCGCATAACTGTATTTTGAGATCATGGCATTAGGCAGGTTGAGAGCCACTGACACAGACAATCCCTCCAGATATATATCTCTTTGCTTATTATCCTTCAATGTTGCCAGTGTTCATCACATTTTCAGGTCAATTCCTTCTAAAAACATGTATAAAAAATACTGACTGTCTGAGTCTTAACTTCTCTAAAAAGTTTATAGCAATCAATGTAAAAATATATATCAAGTTAGTAAACAAATAAACTCGTGATACTTACTGTTTCATGTAATTTTCCCATAGCTGAATCTTTCTCTTTTTTCTGAGCCCTGAGAAAATCTTCTCTCTCCTGCATTTTCTTGGCAAACTCCATGATTCTGTTGTTTTCTTCTTCCATCTTTCTCTTCTCCTGCTGTTTCCATTCTTCTCTTGCTTTCTGGAACTCTGCAATGTACTTCTGAGTAGCCTGCCGTTTTTTCATTTGCCTCTCAAGTTCCCTGCGTGTGTATTAATACTGGATGTTAGATGAGGACAAAACATGACCTTGGCTCCCAGGTTGACCCAACCTTAAATGGGTACCAGGTAAATTCCTGAGAAGGAAAGGTGGCCAGCATGATGCTGACTACATTGCCCATCAAGTGCCGTTTGGTCAAAAAAAAATATATACGGCTAGCTCTATATGCCAAATACACCTGAAGGTGTTGAAAAGGGTCCTTAATTTTACTTATTAGATGAGAATAGACACTGATAAAGCAGAAAAGAACTGCAGACAGGATCAGACAGCTGAGCATGTAAGAAGTATGGTCCTGAAATCTCATGCATTTATTATGGAAGATTCTTCTCAACACAAGAAGGTTTTGCTGGTCACACTTGCTTTCGGCTGTGATTCCCACACCTTCCTACAGCACAATGGAACTCTCTAATTTGGAAAGACAGAAAGGTGCTAAACCAACAAAGATGAGAACAAACCTTCAAGTTCAGTGGATGTAACTGAATAGAAAATGTTAACAGAGACCTCAAGTTTCCTGTACAGTGGAACCTCAGGATACGAGTGCACATGGATAAAGGTTTTCAGGATACAGGATCAGGCTCCCAATTTCTTTGCCTCAAAATATGGGACGAAATTCAGGATGTGAGCCAGTGAGACGAGAACTCTCAGCATTTCCCGACAGCATCTCAATAACTTTTAAATGGATTAGGTGACATTAATAACACTGCTGAAGGTGGACTTATGCCAGTCTCCAAAGTACTTGATGATGATGATCTAGCATCATGGTCGGAAGTAACCTCATTTTCTGATGATGGAAAAAACAATAAAGCAGTGCCACACATTTTCACCATACCAAATCGTCATTTTTATTTTTTTTATTTTTGGAGCCTGCAACTGAAGTCACCAAGTTACATCTGAAGATTAAAATTTACTGAAACTTGCTCAACTTAAAGTTTAAAAAAACTGATAATTATCAGTTGCCAGACCTTTAAGAGTAACATTATTCTATCAGTAGTAAAATCCAAGAATCTCCCATAAACCACAAAATTATAAACTTATAGTCACTCACACTTGCCTACACATCAAGTGTAACAGCACTACATACACGGATAAAATATAAACTCACACATTTAGGTCGATCACACTTGCCTACACATCAAGTGTAACAACATTACATACACTGACAAAAAATAAACTTCCATAGTAAAGTGACTGAAACTTGCCTACACATCAAGTGTAACAACATTACATACACTGACAAAAAATAAACTTCCATAGTAAAGTGACTGAAACTTGCCTACACATCAAGTGTAACAACATTACCTACACTGACAAAATATAAACCTCCATAGTAAAGTGACTGAAACTTGCCTACACATCAAGTGTAACAACACTACATACACTGACAAAATATAAACCTCCACAGTAAAGTGACTCATACTTGCCAACATATTAAGTGTAAGTAAAGTCACTCCACAGACTTCCATAAATTATAATCTTCCATAGTAAAGTCACTAATATATTTCTAAGCTTTAAGATTAAACAGTATAACTAAGGACCGACGGTCAGCCTATGGATCATGCTGATATTATCAATGCCCTCAGAGAAATGGGAAGAATAGATGACTTTGGTGGCAGTGAATCCACATCACTCGCCAGAATGGCAGACTTGGGAATTAAGATCGGCACAGCAAAAAACGAGACGCACACCAGCTACGCCAGAAGACTTGTTAATCAACATAGAACTGGTACTATTAGCCATCGGACGTTGGGGTTCATACTGAGGGGAGGATCTGAGCACCTATGGACATGTCCGGAGTGCAATGAGGATAACCCAACTAACTAACTAACTAACTAACTAACTAACTAAGTATAACTAAGGATAGAAAGGTATGAGACAACTTTTATGACCATCATCATGATTCAAGAGAAAAGGAACAGGAAGACACTCCAACAAACCTCTGATCTTCCTCATAAATCTTGCGCACAATTTCATCAATCATGATTTTCTCTTTGAGGAACTCTTCATATGCCTGCTGTTTCTGGGCCTCCTGCTCTTCCAGCTGCCTCTCCAGTTCCTGGTGATACCTCACCTGTAAAGAATTGTGCTACTGTAAAGAGTGTGGCCTACACATTTTGAATTAAAAAATGTTCTAAATCATTCAGTACCAGAGTCAAGTACAAGTGTGTCCTTCAGAGGACATTGCAAACTAACCCTAGCAATTGTTAGTTTATTGCTGTTTTACTAGGAAACTTTTATGTTCAGTAGTTTGCCACTGCTTTCTGAAATGGACAGCTCTGAATACCATTGTATAAGTCAAGAGGCAACTAAGTACAGATAATAAGAAAAGAAGACAATAGCTTTGACTGGAATTCATGGCAGCAACAATAAACCAGAAGACTCTGCTCTGTATGGGTAGACATCATTTGCGAGTCACACTTTACTTCCCTCACCTGGATCTACACATCTGGGCATGATAAAGTCAAATTTAATGGTAGCAATAAGCAGGAAAGAAAACAACCAAAAACCACATGGAGAAGGGAGCCAGAGAGTTAACTAAGCGGGGAGGACATCGGGTGAACTACATGCAATAGCAAAGGAAAGGACAAGGTGGTTGAGGGCCTATGCTCCACAAGGGAATAAAGGGGCAGAACAAATATTTCCTCCATACACTACTCCACCATTTCTCACTAACATGGTATAGATGAAAATGCCAAGTCTAATGTTAAGGACCCATTTTCAGGCCTTGAGGCTATTGAGCATATGGTGCCAACACTATTCTCGTATACCCCAAATCAGCTCTCTGTAAATGGTGTCAAATAAGACGTGAAAGAGAATTCCCAGAGCTAAATAAATCATATCCAGATATATGGAAGTGAATCGTTGACAATTGGATGATTAGTGACAAATTATTTGAAAGCAGTGGTGTTATGGTTTTATACATAAATGATAAGAATATCCTGAACTAACAAAAAACAACATGAAGATAATGAAGATATCTAGAAGGAAACTGACTCATGAAGAGAAGTTATTATTATTATTATTATCGATCACCGGCTGTGAATTCCAGTGGAAGGTCCCGGTTAATCGTCCGCTTGGATTTTTGGCTTTCACCTGGACCTGATTTTTGCGTGTACAACCGTTTTTCATTTCCCTGCCTCATGGGCAGCTGTACTCCGACTTCGAGGGAAGACGTCAGGCCTATTTCTAGGTTGACTGTGGCCATAGTTTTGTGTGGGTCGTGACGTTGCCTGATTTGTGTGGTGTCCACTTTGTCCCCTTCGCCGCAGGTACTGCCCTCGGAGTACCCCTTTGGGGCAGCCCCCTGTGGAACAGTTAGCCCTCAAGGGAAGGCAGGGGCAGATCATGGGCATTTCCCGCCATCCAAGGAGGCTTCTATGCATGCAGAGCCGGCACATGGCGCTCTGGTTCTGGGCTCACCCAAGGAATCGTCACGTCCTGCACATGCCTGCTTAACCTCACAACCGTATCAGGCCTCCCGCTCGACAGGGGCTGCGCCCTCTGGAAGTCAGCGGGGAGCAGCCCGTGGGTTTTGGACTTTTGTGACCACGCAGATAGATACATTCTTTTTTCTCGCACGTTAGATTTCTTTGACGAGCCGTTAGCCCGACAGAATTTTACGTCCTGCATCAGGCATATCGTTATCAGTTTTGTCCCAACACTCGGGCGAGTGGGGTCTTTGGGTGTGGACATTGTCTTTTTCAGTTCAATACAAATTTTGATGATCAGATTTTGATCCGTATGATCTAGTTTTGTCGGACAATTAGGCTTGGCTATCCGATGGTTGGTTGCTGTTGTGGTGTACCTCAGCGCGGTGACGACGACACTGAGGGTTAACCGAGGATGTACATGAATGGTCAGCCTATGGATGGTTGCTGTTGTGGTGTACCTCAGCGCGGTGACGACGACACTGAGGGTTAACCGGGGATGTACAAGGTTGGCCAGCCTATGGATGGTTGCTGTTGTGGTGTACCTCAGCGCGGTGACGACGACACTGAGGGTTAACAGAGGATGTGCAGTGAACAATGTTCTCTTTACTCCACAGTCTTTTAACCAAGGGTTGTAATTTTGGCTGTACGTTTGGCAGACCTACTCATGTTCCTAATGAGTTTTGGTAACATTTTTCACCCAAGCGTTTGGGGGCGGGCTGATGAGAGCCACAAGGACACATCACCTCTGGGGGCCGCCGAACTCCGAGATCCCCTGACAGCTCTGTTAATGCTCATTTGAGACATTATCCGTGGCGCACGACGAGGACGTGCTGTAGGGGTCTTGCGTGAGGTTCCGTACAACCAGGATAGTAAAGGACTGGCGCCCGAGTGACGTACGGAGTATCTCCTTATACACATCAAGTTGGACTTAACTTCTCCTCACGCCTGTGACATAAATCACCGCGCCACATGAAGAGAAGTGATTGCCCACATCAAAAGGAGACAGTCTACATTATTTGGTCATGTGATGAGAAGGAGAAAACTGGAGTACATCGTGACATTGGGAAAGATGGAGCAGAGGCAGAGGGAGACTAAGAGAAGATGCTGGATAGTCTGACATTATGGCATGGAAGATTATCTGTGTCAGAGCTGATAGAAATTACACGAGACAGAAGGTTGTGGATAGACATGACTACCAACACCACACAGCATGGACCATGAGAAGAAGAAAAGATGTGGCTGTAATGTTGTGAATTCCCGGGGAAACCCCAGAGAGTTCCCGATGGGGAGAAAAAGGTCGAAGGACCCGTGAGAGAAGAGAAAAACGGGAGAAGTGAGTCTCGTGTGTCTCATGGTAAACGAAGTGAGAGACACAAGAAAAGCATGAGACGTGAACGGAAGACGTGAACCGAGAGACTGAAGTAAGAGAGTTGAAGTTCTGCCCTGACTGAGAGAGGACGCGTGAATGAACGCCTGAGAAGAATGAATGATTCGTCAAGTGAATGTTATATTTCAATAGGAGGACTGAATGTTTTTCCATACGTCGTAATGTCAGATATCAGAGTCCATGAAGTATAGATGGATGGTTCGAGAGGCGCGGATAGATTCCTGTAGTGTGTGGGAAGTCCGACCAGGTCGCTAGATTCAGCCAAGCAAGTCGAGCACGAGGAAGCATGAATGTATGTTTGCGATAACTGGCGATTCAACGAATAAAAGCAAAGAACTCAATATTCGTTCATGCTGTGTCGTTTCAACTCACTGTTCGTCTGAAAGCAATGTAAACAATACATGCCCCTAGATGAGCACATTACAAGTGGAGGCTCTAAAACGGACACATCCAGGACAAAAAACAACGACAGAAGATAACCGGAATATCACTGAAAACACAGCGGATTGGACCAATTGAACTCGACAGCTAATAACGGAGCTAAACAGTCAATGTAAGTGGCGTTCTGTGTCAAGGTCGATTTCCAGTGATCGTCTGAGGTAACAGCAGTTGTTAGTCAAAATTTATTTGTTCAGAACAAGCAACGACAAACAGGGTCAGTGTAGTGACCAAAAAACCCGGCCAGTTGGACCAGTTAAACTTCAAAGCTCAAAGCGGGGCTGCAGAGTTGACGTAAGTGGGGGACTGGGTCAAGGCCGCTATACAGCCATCATCCGTGGTAACACCAGTTGCTGTGTCGAAATTTACCTCAAGAAAATGTGTAGAAATTTCAAGTACATTTTTCCTGTGTAAGGATGGCCAAATTCGCCACTGGGTAACGTGTCGAAATTAGTTATCGTTACAGTATCATCAGAACAACTATACCACGTATCGTTACAGTGTCATCATAACAACTATGCCGCGTATTATTACAGTGTGATCGTAACAGCTATACTACACATTGTTACAGTGTGATCGTAACAATTATACTGCGTATTGTTACAGTGTGATCGTAACAACTATACTGTGTATTACAACATCAAGGTAGTCATCAATCAGTCCAGTGTTTGAAACAGTAGTTGCAAAGGGCAACAGCCACCAAGTACAGTGATCACTAAACATGCTAACATAACGTAAGTGTGTTAAGACAAGGCATCTAGCTGAGTGACATTGGTCAAGCGGACAGCCGACTTATATCCACATATCCGATCTAACATGCAGCTAGCGGAACACCGCTAAACGAACATCCGTAGCACAGGTAGAACAAGTACACGTGCAGAACAGTTTTCTGTGAGTTCCTTCAAGTCTTTAGAACAGACAGTCAGTTTCCATGAATTATTCAGATTGACATCCATGTTCAACTTATAGACGAGTGCCGCTATTTTTCAAAAAAGTACACTACTTCCATGATGAACCACAATATGAATTCAGACGGGTAGTGGCCAATTAATGAAGTGACATTACCAACCGGAAGATTCAATTGCACGACACGATCTACAAGAGACTCGTTCAAAATATTTCCGTTACAGCCGAGAAGTGTGCTATAGCGAAAAGAAGGATCCGTAGAATAGACTGTGTCTTAGCTCGATAGGAGCCATAGTAATTTTTTTTTTAAAAAAGTTGAGTAATTAAGTTCATAGTTGATATTATTGTTCTGAGTAGGTAGAAAACTACTCAGCTAAACATAGTGATTATATATCACATATTGATTTTGTTGGTTGTGATTATATTGCTATTAAGCGTAATATTTGTGAACGCATTTCTAATTGTTATATTTGTACAGGAATACCGTATACATCTACAAGTCAAAAATGGCGGAATGGGTAGCCATTGGTAAAGAATTGGGCCTTCAGGGCGACGAGTTAAGAAAGTATGTGGATGAAAAACATAAAGAGAAGGCAGCAGAAGAAAAAGAAGAACAAAAAAGAAGAGCAGCAGAAGAAAAAGAAGAACAATTAAGAAAAGCAGCAGAAGAACGAGAAGAACAAAAAAGAAGAGCAGCAGAAGAAAAAGAAGAACAATTAAGAAAAGCAGCAGAAGAACGAGAAGAACGCAGACTTGTTCGTGAACACGAACTAAAAGTTAAAGAGAGAGATGCTGAATTGAAACAGATGGAACTACTACAACAAAAGGAAAGTAAAGATAAAGAGTTACTATTGCAAAAAGAGATTGAAGAGAAAAAATTACAGCTGGAAAAACAGAGGTTAGAGGCACAAATACAAGCGGACAAAGAAAAAGCAGAAACTCAGATCAGAACAAAGGAAATGGAAAATGAGTCAAAAAGAGAAGCAGCCATAGAAAAAGAGAGAATCAAAGCAGAAGAAAACAAATTCAAAAAATATGCAGGAATAGTCGGAAATTACTGCAAGGAAGACGACATCGGAGCGTATATAGCCAATTTCGAACTAGGTATGCACATGCATAACGTCCCATTGCAAGACTACGCTTTAATCTTTCAAAAACACCTGGCATTTGAACCTTTGAAGATTCTGGAAACAATTCCGGAAACCAAAAGACTAGATTACAACTATATCAAAGAGAGGTTAATGAAGCATTACAACCTGCACGAAGCTGGCTACCGAAAACAGTTCAACGATTTGAGACCAAAAAGTAGTCAAACATTTGCAGACTATCTGTCAGAAGTGCAGAACATTTTCCAAAAATGGGTTGAAGCAGCCAATGTAAAAAATGACTATAAGTTATTGGTTGATTTGTTGTTAAGATGTAAAATGTTAGAATCTCTTCCACAGCCAATGGCAACTTTCCTAAAGGAAAATAAGCCAACAAATTTAGATTCTTTAGAAGAAGTAGGTGAAAATTATTTTGCAGCACACCCTGATATCTTCGTGCTATCAAGTTCTGATTTGATAGAAGTGGGAGCAGCAGCCTATGCAAAACCATACCAACAGAAATTTCAGAACAAAAACTTTAGATATGGCAAGAAAGAGGTAAAGACCATCAATTGCAACCACTGTCACGATAGACATGGTGACGACGCACCTTGTGATAAAAGCCCACTATTTAATGAAATAATCGAACAGGTGATTGCTCATAGAAAAAATAAGTTAAAGAGGTATGAAAATGCAGTAAAATGTTATATTTGTGGATGTTATTTGCACACCAGACGTAACTGTCCTGCTATAAAACGATTCAAGGAGGCACATGTAGTATGTGTAACATCAGATGATGAGTCAGAAAGCGATTCAGCTGAAGCCAATTCAGCTACCATGTACGAAACAGAAGAAGAATGTAAAATATGTGCTAAATTCCATGCTTCTTGGAAGGCAACCTACCGTGTGGACACCTGATACCCATTCAGAACGCTAATCTGACAACACACGGCCACGGTACTCTGAAATTTCAAAAAGGGCAGATCCATGGGCAAACCATATCACTCCTTAGGGACACTGGTGCATCTATTTCCGGAGTGCATCAAAGACTGATTAGACCAGAAGATTTAACAGACAAATACATCAATTGTCGTACCTTTGGGGGTAGCATCGAAAGATATCGACTTGCTAACGTGTTTGTTAAAACACCATACTTAGAAAAGTTCATAACTGTTGCAGTATTACCATCCCCTTGTGCTGATTTGATTTTGGGAAACAGGGAAGATTTAAGAACAGTAACCGACAGGGACATTGTAGCTTGGGAACAAAAAAATAGAAAGACCAAAGACCAAGAAACAACTACAGGCACTATTAGGACTTGTAAATTATTACGGTAAATTCATCCCTAAGTTAGCAGAACTAACAGCCCCTCTATCGGAACTTTTGAAAAAAGACCAGTTTAGAAAAAAGGATTGGACAGAAACTCATGACAAAATCATACAAAAAATCAAGTCTTCATTTGCTACTCCACCAATACTAAGACAACCGGACCCATCTAAAACTTTCTACCTACAAACTGACGCTAGTGGTCATACCATAGCCGCGATGTGGGCTCAAAGGCATTCCGGTACTCTTCTTCCGGTTCTATATCTTTCACAGAAACTTAATTCCACCCAACAGAAATACAGTACTTTTGAAAAAGAGGCTCTCGCTCTTGTTATCAGCCTTAAAAAATTCCAAAAATTCTTGATAGGAAAGGAATTCATTATTTTGACTGATAACTTAGGCCTGACAAAATTGGTAACAATGGATGCAACAAATAACGCAAGAGTATACAGATGGGCGTTATTATTATCCCAATTTCAGTTCAAGATAGAACACATTAAGGGCATTGAAAACCATCTACCCGACGTGATGTCCAGATTATAAACATAGATTCAATTTTGTATTGTATGTATTACCTGGGGAAATCCTGAATTACAAGAAAGAGTATGGTTGAATGAATGAAATATGTAAACATAGCTTAACTGATGATTTTTATGTATGTTACATTTGTAAGTAAGCAACAATATACGTGTGACAATGGTGACTATAATGAGGAGAATGATGATGACGATGAGATGAATATGATGACAATAACGCTGATAACGACAACAACAATGATGATGATGATGATGATGATGATGATGATAACGATGATGATGATGACAATAATGATGATGATTATGACAATGAAGATGTTACAGCATGTTGAAATAAGGTTTAATAATGATTACATATGTTGTTTAGATAAATTGATTGGTGAAAATATAGGTTGTATAACATGTAATAGGGTAATTACTATATAGAAAGGGAATAACAATACTTTTTCGGAAAAGTAATGGGTAATTTACGCCGCATAATCCAAGGGATTGAGTTCGAAACCCTAAAGAGGGAAACATATGTTTCTAATTGAAACGTAAACCAGTGACAGTAACCATGAGTCCAACGGTGAGGGTGGAACTTTGCGGGTTTTCTACATTTCTGTTCCATAGCCGATATGGACTTCAGTACTTGAAAGAGAGTACCAGAATTGTTGTTCTGTTTTATACAGACTGTGGGATGGCATGGGGTTAATACGCAGAGCCTATATGGACTACCGCACTTGGAAGAGAGTGCCTGAATGGTTGTTTCCCATTAAGCCACTTGGTACTTATTGGTACTTATAACTGGTAATGTGACAAAGGGAAATAATGTAAAACCTATCAAAAGGGAAGTAACCATTAAAACCCAATATGATTATTAGGTAATCCACATCATTACATTAAAGTATTCCCAAACCTTTAAAACTATAACCTAAAGATAAAATAATAGAAAAAAAAATTTTAAGGTTAAATTTTTTTTACTAGAAGGGAGGGGGAGATTGTAATGTTGTGAAATCCCGGGGAAACCCCAGAGAGTTCCCGATGGGGAGAAAAAGGTCGAAGGACCCGTGAGAGAAGAGAAAAACGGGAGAAGTGAGTCTCGTGTGTCTCATGGTAAACGAAGTGAGAGACACAAGAAAAGCATGAGACGTGAACGGAAGACGTGAACCAAGAGACTGAAGTAAGAGAGTTGAAGTTCTGCCCTGACTGAGAGAGGACGCGTGAATGAACGCCTGAGAAGAATAAATGATTCGTCAAGTGAATGTTATATTTCAATAGGAGGACTGAATGTTTTTCCATACGTCGTAATGTCAGATATCAGAGTCCATGAAGTATAGATGGATGGTTCGAGAGGCGCGGATAGATTCCTGTAGTGTGTGGGAAGTCCGACCAGGTCGCTAGATTCAGCCAAGCAAGTCGAGCACGAGGAAGCATGAATGTATGTTTGCGATAACTGGCGATTCAACGAATAAAAGCAAAGAACTCAATATTCGTTCATGCTGTGTCGTTTCAACTCACTGTTCGTCTGAAAGCAATGTAAACAATACATGCCCCTAGATGAGCACATTACAGTGGCCAGCATCACACCATGTGCTTTTACTTTCCCGGAGATTTCCTGGTACTCATTTCATCTTGGTCAATTTGGGAATTTAAAAATCTGTTTGATGACATTCAAAATTATGACCACCAGACAAGCATGACAGCCACTGTGCAACAAAAGCTTGCCTCATTTACATAAGGACTAAAGAATGCTTTCACTGGCCAGAATTGAATTTACACTGTGCTGGCTAATATGACAACTGACACAAAAATTATTCTCAGCAACACTTATAAACTAACCATTTCCTTATATCTTTCCATTTCCCTAAGTCTTTCTGCCTCCTCTGCTCGCTCATTCTGCTCCTTCAAGTGTCGAGAAATCTCAGATTCACGTTTCTGAAGAAATAAAGATACAATGTTCATATTATTTCAACAACCTCAGAACTTTAGCAAATATATATAATGCTGCCTACAGCTCTTTAAGGGATGGTCTGGCCAGACATAACAAAACACAACATAAACTATGATTACAGAGCTTAACAAAGGAAAAGGACAGATATGAAAAAATACAACCAACATGTTTACCAGTCTTTATCAATCAATAAAACAACAAGAATCATAAACCATAAAAAAAGACAGAGAAGGTGACATAGCACTGAAATTAAAAAAGTATGGACAGAAAAACATAATGCAAAACAAAACATAAAAGAGGGAATGAAAAAAGGAGGGAGATAACAATGAAAAAGAAATGCATACAACATTTTTTTTTTAATAATGCAAAGAATGTAATGCTCAATTTACTGCTTGGAATATTTTGCTGGGTCTCGTCAGGTGCATTACTACACAGCTTATATCAACATATGATGCAGCACGAAATGTGAATTCTTGCAAGTGAAACATATTTTCTGTTGTCACAAAATGTGAATCCTGGCAAGTGAAAGGCAGAAAACATATTTTATGTTGTCACATTATGATTCCCATCACAGGAATTAACAGATAAAGCAAGTGCTTACCACGTGCCACCTGCACTTTTTAGAGCAAATGCAGAAGAAGAAGAAGAAGAAGAGGAAGAAGAAAAAGAACTTCACCAGCAGATTAGTTCATTACAAGTTGCTGATGGTTCTACAATACTGAAACTTATATGAGAAGTCTGGCCTGTTCTGTTACAAAAACATAAACTAAGATATTAATTTTTGTCTCTGCGGCTCCAAACAGTCCAAAGTTCTCTATATAGACATAATCAACCAGTTGCAGAGCTTTCATAATCAACTTGACACTGATAAGTTTTCCACTAGTTTGCTAACGGGACGGTGAAGGACACTTTGTGTGATTTCCACACGTATAGGAAAGGATCATTCATGAGGCAACCTGTCTATAGTGATGATTAAACCTGATTAATGACTAAATCGCTAAAAAAAATATCTACTTTAAAATGTTGATTCAAAGTAAATTCTTCATCTTCTGCGTTGACTCTTAAAAGGGCAGTTGTATTGTGTTTGGCAGCTAGTCTGCATTGTGTGTTTTTTGGCCTAAACCATCCCATTGCAGTAAAACAATAATTAGTTGCCTTTTACGAGATGATTGTTAGGGGGGCAGTGAGTATATCTGGTGGGGCACCAGAAACTACAAAATAAACGATTTTGCTGTTATTGATTTGCTCATGATAGTAATGGTTATGATTGTAGTTTACCATTTCATCGAACTTCATGGCTTCCCTTTCGGCAACCTGAGCAGCTCTTTCTTTGCTGAGGTAGGCAGCACGTAGTTTAGCCTCCAACTCTCGGAGCTCAAGGCTAAATTAGAAACAATATAACAGAACATCAGCATTTTATAAATACACACATAAATATACACATAAAAAGTAAAGACAGTAGCAAGGCAAATACTGCCAAGTGAGTATGAACTTAACGCCTTCACATATTGTGAGGGAAACAGGGGTAACTGCAGGGAGGCTAATACCATGAAATTAAAACAGGCGGCCTACAATGTACATGCTCTCCACCTTGTTGGTGTGGTTTTTGTGTGTGTGTGGATACAGGCTCTTAGCGAAACGGCACATTCTGTGTGGGTGTCGATACAGGCTCTTAGCGAAACGGCACATTTTGTGTGTGTGTCGATACAGGCTCTTAGCGAAACGGCACATTTTGTATGTGTGTGTGTGTGCGGGGGAGTGTGAGTGTTTTGTTCCCCTTCCTCCCTTCATTAAGCTTTTTAGTTATTCGATTATGTATGCCGGTGTGATGTTGACCACATAACCCACCAAGTGTTAACTGGTCTACAAAATATAAGTCTAGCACATCCGTTATGTAGACTACCTGTTTTGTTATACTCTTACATTTGTACACACCAGCTGTCTGGTCGCATGAGTGTATTGCTGCTAACAAAGTCTATTCTTTCATACATATATGTGTCATTACCTTGTTTCTCTGATCTGTTGCCTCATCTTCTCATCTCTTAACTGCTCCAGTTTAACTCTCTGCAACTCGCGGGCCAAGTTTTCTTCTTGCTCCATCTGCTGCTGTTTAATTATTCTATCTCTTTCTCCCTATAAATAACAATAACACAACTCTAATTACTGTTTAATTATTATATCTCTTTCTCCCTATAAACAGCAATAATAACACAACTCTAATTACTGTTTAATTATTCTCTTTCTTCTCAAAAACATAATAATAATACAGCTTTAATTACTCTTCAATTATTCTATCTCTTTCTTCCTATAAACAGCAATAATAACACAACTCTAATTACTGTTTAATTATTCTATCTCTTTCACCCTATAAACAGAAATAATAACACAACTCGAATTACTGTTAAATTATTCTATCTCGTTCACTCTATAAACATAAATAATATCACAACTTGAATTACTGTTAAATTATTCTATTTCGTTCACCCTATAAACAGAAATAATAACACAACTCGAATTACTGTTAAATTATTCTATCTCCTTCACCCTATAAACAGAAATAACAACATGTCTTTTAGATAACACAAGGAGGAAAACAACAATGGTGACAGAGAACTGGCAGATTCTTCTTCTTTTTCGGCATCTGCCGTTGAAAATGCAGTTGGTATGCTGTTTTGGTTGCGATATCTACAGCTTTCGGCCCAACATATCTGAAAAGTCTTATTTAGTCACTTTTTACGACATTGGTGGTAGTGGGTCTATTCCCCCCCCCCCACCCCCTCCCCATGTTATTTGTATTATTTTATTTTTACGATTTTTTTATTATGAAACTCTTTCTGAAAAACTGCTAAAAATGCAGGTGCATGTTACAGTCAGTAAAACATGGTAATTAAGGCAAGCTCAAAGACTCACACAGATGTTAAGATAGGGGTGTTACATATTCAGCTTAAACATATTAGATAACTACACAAGAAGGTGGGATGATCTGCTCTCTTTCCCAAGAAAAACATTTGCAATCTTGCCACCAATGGGAACTGACCCCCAGATCGCTGTACTGGCTAGCAATGTCACTAACATTATACCACCACAACACCCTAATTAACAAATATCTGTGTATTTTGTGAAATAAAAAAAGCAATAATCATAAACAATCCAACTGATTTCATAACAAGAGGAAGTTTTCCTAGCCAAATGTGGTTTTCAGTCAGTTAAGACCTGCAGACCTCTCTTAAATTCAACGGTCAGCCATGGACAATTTTGTTAACAGTCACACAGAAGAACTTATAATTTTTAAATCTGTTTTTTTTCTTCTTTTTTTGCGTTCACCTGCTGTAAACTCTGGTGGAAAGTTTTTGTTGTTCGTTCACTTTTGTGAACAGTCCTGTTTCAGAACCTGAGTGTTGCATGTGCATCCGTTTGACAGATCTGACACATTGGTGAGCAGACTGTTGGTTCCTTGCCTCTCAGGCAGATGCACACCAACTTCGAATGAAGCTCCCAATTAGTCGACTCTTACGACATACTTTTGGGTAGGCAGCGGGTCTATTCTTGTTTTACCTATAATAGGGCCCCTGAATCCACACAAGGGATTTTTAAATATAAGAAGTGCAAAGATGATTGTATTCTAGAGGTGAGGAATTGTTTGTAAATGATATCACGGACATCTTGAATTTGTTCCAAATGGGAAAGCTTGGGTTAAACTATTTGTCTTGTACTCTGAAGGTAGTTAGTTCCATTTTGAACTTCTTCTTCTCGTTCATGAAAGCACATGTTTCTGAGATCCAAGAAATAAATGGACAGGAAAACCTCGTGGCCCTGTTTCTGCAGCCAGGTACTTATGCCATTTGGAGGTGACAGATTCAATTCCCGGCATAGTAATTATTTCTTTCTATTATTATGTAGTCTAGCGTGTCATTCTTTCTTTCTATGCGTGCTGATCAACACACTGTCTGTTTGTTTATTATATGTAATAAGATGCCAGAGTAGTCAGTGAAATAGTTTCGAGCTTTTATGCAATGCTCTCATCACGGAAACAGCACCCTTACCTGACAGAGATCGAGCCATGTGGGACAAAACCTGATGCAATGAAGGTAATTTTGCCTTTAAACACTCTTTCATTTTTTAAAAAAAAAGTCTTTGAACAGTCTATGGCCAATATTGTTTACCTAAAACATTGTGGGCTCCACCGAGAAGAGTTATTGAAGCATTTACAAACACACAAAAACGTACTTTAACAATGGAGTCATTCATTTCCATCTCTTTGCTCATGATCTGCTGTTGCCTCAGAAACCTTCTCTTCTGCACCTTTCAAAAAACAATGTCAAAGCCTGCGGTTGTAACATCCTGCCTAAAATCATCATCAGTCAAATAAGAAAAGATTGAGCAACAGGAAAGTTGGAGGGGAGAGGCGCAGTGATAGACCAGAAAAGAAAATGTTAAACAGTTTGGCATCGTAGCTTAAAAAAACATCTGTTTGAAAAAAAATTACTGGCACAAGACAAACGGCTGTCAACAGACAGAAAGATAAATGGCGCAGATTAGAATAATAATCAGAAAAATAAGAAAAGTAACAAACATCAGTTTTTCACAACACTGGACAAATGATAATTTAAAAAATCCAGGCAAACATTTTTTTAAAACCTGCAAAGTGATACAAAACTATGTTTTAATAAATAAGCATTGTAGACCAGATCAGCACTTCTGGTGATTGTGTGAGAAGCTAAAACAGGATAGTCCAAGCTTTTCAGCAAAGTCAATGATACACATGATAGTATACAACAACCGTAGTCTGGGTTTGCCTTCCTGCTACTATCTTGGCAAGCAAACATTAATGCAGACAGGACTAAAACAATTTGGAGATGAAGAAGACTTTGTTCACTGACTCAGATAAAAACAGTCAAGCTTTGAGCTGCTAGCCCCATTTAATATTTTTGTAAAGTGTGTGTCCCTTGAAGAAGGGATGAGGATTAAAGCATACAAGCTAAGAGAGCCAGAAAATTAAGGCTAGATACCAGGAGCTAATAGTGAAAGCAATAGGAACTGAAGAAGAATCATCAGAGGACACTGAAACCCTCTGGTGCAGATTCAAGAATATCCTCACAGCAGCTGCAGTAGAAGCATGTGGTGAAGTCCCGAGTGGAAGGCGGGGACATAGGACACCTTGGTGGACGGAAGAAGTCAAATTGAAAATAGGAGAAAAGAAAAGGGCATGGAAGCAATACCTGGCAGCGAGGAACACAGCTGAAGAAATAGAAAAATATAAACAATATGTGGCACTCAGAACAGAGACCAAAAATATTGTGCTTAAAGCAAAACAAAAATCATGGGAAGAGTTTGGAGAAAAGTTGGAAAAGAATGCAAGAGAAAACCAAAAACTGTTCTACAAGACCCTTAAGGACATGAGGAAGGAGAAAGAATGCCCACTTAAATTCATAAAAGACAAGGAAGGGGCTCTGCTTACTTTTACAAATGATATCATGGGCAGATGGAAAGAATACTTCTCAGAGCTCCTCGGCTTTGAGGGAAGCCATGACCCAGAAATAATGGACCTCACTGCTGAGAAGGAATTCAATCATGGGGAAGATAACATCAGGATGGAAGAATTGAAGGCAGCTATTGAGAAGATTAAGCTGGGAAAAGCAGCAGGTCATGATGGTATAACACCAGAGATGGTCAAATATATGGAAGTCGAAGGTCAGCGCCTTCTACTGAAGGTTCTCCAGGCAGCCTGGTGTAGCAAAACTATACCAAAAGATTGGGAGATTGCCATCATTATACCTATATTTAAAAAAGGTGATAACAGACAATGTGAAAACCACAGAGGCATATCCCTCCTCAGCTTTTGCAGACGATGTGGCCCTGATAGCTAAATCAGAGGCACACCTTCAGTCCAACTTACTTGTCTGGAAGGAAGAGCTTGAAAAGAAAGGGATGACCATCAGTATCTCCAAAACTAAAACCATGGCGACCTCAAGAGAGGAGAAGAAACACCAGATCATGATGGGACAGTATGCATTGGAGCAGGTCAACCAGTTCAAATACCTTGGAGTTGTCCTAGACCAAAACGGAGGCATTAAGACTGAGCTGGCTACACGAAAAGCAGCTGCTGGGAGACTCTTCCAGGCCATAAACCGAGGGTTTCTTAGCAAAAGAGAAATTGGCAAGAGGACAAAAATGGCTGTTTACCGCTCTACCTATGTACCAGTCCTGACCTATGGGTGTGAGTCATGGGCAATGACAACAGCTCACAGAAGCCAGCTGCAGGCCTCGGAAATGAGATACCTGAGAAAGGTGGTCCAAGTGACAAGAAGGGACAAAGTCCGCAATCAGACAATACGTCAAGATCTTGATACCCAGCCCTTACTAACCCGAGTAGATCAGTCACAGTTACGATGGTTTGGACATGTATGCAGAATGGGAGAAAATCGGCCACCATGGCAAGCATGGGAGGCTAAGAACAAGGGAACCAGACCTCCGGGACGACCCAGGGTGCGCTGGGAAGACAACATCCGACAGTCCCTAACTGACAGAGGACTGGAATGGAACAAAGCCAGAAAGAAAACTGCTGATAGAGACGTCTGGCGATCTCTCTGACAAACCTCTACACCCCAAGGTAGAAGAGGAGCGACTAAGTAAAGTAAGTAAGTGTGTCCCTTGAAACAATCATAAACAGTCATCATAAGTATTAAACCAAATAGTAATAAATTAATTTACTTTTTCTTCACGCTGGATGCTTTCATCATAATACAATGCCAGCTTTCTGTCTTCTTCTAAACTCTGCTGCAACAAATCTCTCTGCCGGTTTTTCTCTAACTGTCGTTGATAAGCAACTTGGCCTTGTGCTGTCCTCCTTGCCATTGCCTGTGAAGATAATAGAAAGATTGTTTTTCTTTTCAACTTTTATTTATTTGGTATTTTGGTGGCATTATATTTTTTTTTTTTCAGTGAAATATTTTATGTGTTAAAAAAAAGGCTAAATTTTGGGGCTGGGAACAGATTAAATCCTTTTAGTTAATTCCTATGGGAAAAAAATTGTTTGATGTTTGTCCTTCCAATGGGAATGGATTAAAAACAAATACTGGAGTTCCACCGCACCAGATTGCTGTTGCTGGTCTAAAGTTCATATTATTACATGTGACAGGAAACCCCATTTATTCCTCTGGGTGGGAAAAGAAAACCGAGGACTACAAATAAAATAACACGGCCTTTGTGAATCTTCTTCTTAGGCCTTCACCCTTAAAAATGCACACTGGGTTTTGACTGACAGCTAGGCTACAGTTTCTGTGCCTTCTGGCCCAACATATCCAATTTCTAAAAAGAAGAAGAAGTAAATCTCTAATTAGTCATCTGTTATGATTTGCTTGTTAGGGGGGCAGTGGATCAATGATTTTTTTCCCTCCAAAATGGTGCCCTGGAACCCATACAGGGAGTATTTTAACTATTTTGTGAATCCACTGTACAAAATTAGATGGTTAAATGGGGAGTCCATTAACTTACGAAGAAATACTGTTGTTGCAGAGCCCAGTGATTGACATCTTGTGGTCTAGATTTTTTTAAAAAAATTAAAACGTGCAAGAACTTACCAAATTTGAATTTTTATCAAACTAGACTGCCTACAGCGTAGGATATGATCAAATACAGACTGAGAAATATATGGCTTGTATATAAATTTAAGGGTGTCACAAAGTTTTCTCTCATTTCCCAATACTGGTTGACATCATAACATTCTGTAATAGTTACTTTACAGTTTACATTTGTGTTGTTTATTCTTTATTTCGGCTCTAATTCGAACTTCGTCTCCATATTATGGCGGCCAAACAAATACCCTAACAGGACCTCAGTCGTGTGTAAAATGCGGACTTCCTCCAACGAACACATCGTGGTAAAACTAGGATTACTGTCTGTTGACACTTTCGAGAAACGCAACAATACACGATAATAGCTAAATGGCGGGGAGACCATGCACTCCAGAACAGGTTAGCGATAGTGTTCTTCCGATTAAACTCACCACCGAGCGTATTCCCCATGCCGCTACGCGCGGCGCAGATGGGGGACCTAAACTAGATAGCTGGGACTCACGAGCAACAGCTACCGCATATCCTGCAACTTCCTCCACTTTATTTGCTCGTGAGTCCCAGCCAACTAGTTTAGTCCCCAATTCGCGCCGCTACGCGCAGCGCGGGAAATAATGTTGGCTGTGTGGCATAGTCACAGAAACAGGTCCGCAATAAACTTATCGTTGAGACCCTGTTAGAGTATTTGTTTGCCCTCGATAATATTAGCCCGTTCTTCGGAGGCAATCCTAGTTTTGCCTCGATTTGTTCCTTGACAGGCACTCCGCAATTTGCATATGATTGAGGCCCTGTTAGGGTATTTGTTTAGCAACCATAATATGGAAACGAAGTTAGAAGGAGAGCCTTTATTTCTTTTATCGTCTTACTGATAGCTAATTGTAGCCCAGTGTCGTAGTTTTCTTTATTGAATGGCTGGTGGATTTGTTCTACTTTTTTTTAAACAGGTTTCAGCTAAATCTTTTATCCACCTCTTTTTGTTTTGGTCTTCCTTTTGCCTTCTTCCAATATGTTCTGTTGTTTGAAAAAAAAGAAATCTCATATGTCATATGCAGTGTGGTCTGGCTGCATTCTCACTAGATTGCCGATTGTATTGGCGATACCAATTCATTCTGTTATTTGTCTTTTCATGTATAATTTACAATTTACTGTCAGCTATACATCGTCTTTTCTTTATCTTCGGGATACCCTCGCGAGCTCTCTACACGCATAGAAGTGCTCAGATGATTCTCATCATAACAAGATATCAGGTTGCCAAAAAGTATAATAATAATAATAATACTTTTCGATGACAAACACAACTGTATTTTTTTTGGGGGGGTAATTTCGGCGAAGATCATGATTTTGATGATAATATCATAGGGAACACATGCATGATCAATGCAAAATCAGTAGTATGCCAAAGTATTATTTAAACTAAATAATTTTTTTAATAATGCAACACACCATGTTGCCAGCAAGATGCACGAAAACGCTAAAATAACTATTTCCTGGTGTCAAAATGAAGTTTTCGAAAAGCCGCCAGAGAGAGTCATACACAAGAGCGACAAAACATGGCCGACAATGTTATGTTGGGACGGGTCCATTTTCGTTGCTAAGTGGCGTAAGCTTAGTTATACAATACATTTTTTTCAAACTTGATCATTTAAAACGTGAACCTGTTTACAGTTATAACAGTATAATGCATGCGAGCTTATAAAACAGCTTTATTGCACATATTTAGTTACATAGCGATTGTTTTTATAGACATGTCTTTGATAATGTTAACCAATCATACAATGGACGAGCTATGACCCATATTGGCGGCTAACTACAAAAGTAAATCAAAATGAATGACACCAAATAAGAAATAATAAGAAATAAATTAACTGCCACTTTCACATGACAGAAAATAGCTGAGCTGAGTTTCAATCAAGAACCGAAATCACAGGACTCAGGACATTCCAATAAGTACCATTTCCCCACCTTCAACAGCAAGCGAAGAGCTCCGACTCGGATGGTACCAAGAACAGTCTGTATATATCTGTCCTGCCTTCCACTGAGAGTTGATTGTCGACCAGATCCCTGGTCACTCCCCGTTGCACCATTCTCTTCTGACCGTGGTCATTTAATAGTGCCACTGCAGTTTTCACTCACTCCCAAAGGGCATTGACAACATCTATCTTGCCATGGAACTAGTGGTGCAGAACCTGTCTATCTGCATGTTCGTTTCCGAACCCACATTCATTCCCTGGAAAAATATCTAAAGTATGCTAAATACCCTGGAGGGTTCTTTTCCGTAGAGCGACCACATCACACTTGATTTAGGGATATCCCATATTATAGGGGGTTAGGGTTAGAGTTAGTGTTAAATGAATGGCGACCATTCCTAACCCTAACCCCCTATAATATGGAATTTCCCTAAATCTCGCGTGATGTGGTCGCTTAACAGAAAAGAACCACGCTGGACGTCTGAAGCGATATGCGCAAATCTGCAAGGAGCATACATGCCTTCGTCTTTCTCAGCATACTTTGCGAGTCAGTTTCAATCACAATATGGGAGCTTTATAAAATCCTACCCTAAACAGGAGAAATCCACAGGTCAGGGGACAGTCTAATATTTCAGGGGGTCGTAGATAGGCTGCATGCAGTCGTGGAACCTAGGCAGCAGGCATTCGGTGGACCCAGGCTACTCTCTCTCTCTCTCTCTCTCTCTCTCTCTCTCTCTCTCTCTCTTCTCTCTCTCTCTCTCTCTCTCTCTCTCTCTCTCTCTCTCTCTCTCTCTCTCTCTCTCTCTCTCAAGCCATCAAAGTATTTATCTTTCTCTGTTTTCCCCTCTCCTCTTTCTAGCAATTTTGCTAGTTGTCACCAAGTTCTCGAGTCTATTCCTTGTCTTGAAATATACATTCTGTATTCAAATAAAAAGAATGATATAGGAGCAATGGTTTTTTTATCACCTTTATTTCTTTGCTTTACAATATACCCTGGTCTGTAATTTGTGATGTCTTCTTTCCATAGATTATTCTTTAAAGATTATTTTAAGAGTGTTTTGGGGTATTTAAACTCTGAGAAAGATAAGGCTGCTTGAGTTGAGTTGAATCCTCCCTCCTCCACCCCCAATATGTGCCATCCAATTTTGTTTTCATTTAAGCGACTCTTTGTGTGCCGTTTAATTCGATTTTATTTTTCTTAGTTTGGCTTCAGGGTGAGCATGCTGTCTTGTGTACTCCCCCCACCCCAAAAACTGGTCGATCTCTGATATTGGCTGATTTTCTAAAATTAGGAATATTATATCTTTATGTGGTTAAGAAAGAATATAATGTTTCAGTGTTGGGCTACCGTATAAAAGTAGTCGATAGTATTGTCTCTGTTATCACAAAATGTTGGTCGGGGTAACCGCATTGTGCCAGCGACTTCAGACAGAAAAATATTGAGTACTAGGAATGGCAGTCTTATGGCAGGGCAGTTGGGGTCAATACCCTTGGTTGGCAGTTGGTCTATAAATAAAGTTCCAACGGGCAGACACACAGAAAATTGATATTCTGATCCGGCAGCTTCTGTAGAGGGCTTAGTTCCAAACGTATTAATGTCATCTTTATTTTTCAGTCCACAAGACAGGTCGAGTGACGACAGTTTGTCGACGATGAATTTCATTTCAGTCCTTAACTGAATATTATTATTGTGCCTTTATGTAAGACAATTTAACACTATCGCCCAGAAAGACGAAATGATTAATGAAATTTGTAGACTCCAAATGTTAGCCCACTTGTCTACTTCCTCAACTGACATTGAAGCTTACAGGTGACTGTTGTTCTGTTTTCAGTGGCTGTCATCGAGAATATTGGTTCTATCTCTCGTTCAGGTAAGCTGTTAGAGACGTGTTATATCACTTATGTTAATCACGAAGAACCTTGGGTCTTCTACGCTCCTCTGAGAGGAGCACTTGTAGCACTTGTAACCTTTCTGTAATATTTGGCAGTGCACGCACATATAGAATGCATACTGATTTTCTCTGTTTTAGACCTCAAAATCATGCCATCATCCTTTGTGCTTTCAAGTTTCATCAGCTGACATCAGCCAACATTCAGGGTCCATAATCAATCAACGAAATCATCAAATGCTGACACTTTGAAAATCGCATTAATTGTTTCGTATCTGTTAAGGGTATAATCTTTTGTGCATTGAATCTCTTTTGCCATTTCGCATCAACTGCTTTCAGATGGTCTATGTGGATATACCTATTGTTTCGAATGTGTTACACAAGTGGTAATATAACACTATTGTCTGGACAGAATGAAAGGCGCCAGTCCAATTCCGAGGTTCCCCAGTTTGCTTCTTCCTCTTCTTGTGTTTTTGTTGTTGATACTGTGTTTTATACCAAGAAGAAGATGGCGAAAAATAAGAAGAAGACGACGAAGAAGAAAAAAATATCCAAGAACTGTGATGTCCGGTACTTACTAAACTTCACTCAGCAGTGCCCATCTCATTGCAAGTACCATGGTTATTGAATACATAGATTTTAAAACAGAACGAATGATACCGAGGTTTGCTTACACAACGATTGCTGGAGGAGCGACTGGTCGAAAGGGTACGGCGCTGAGCTATCATACGGTAGATCCGGGATAGAATCCTCGGTAAGGTCATTGATTTTTTTTGTTTCTGTCGGGGGCAAAATAAATACCTAACCTGCACAGTCTGTGGAGCCTGGCCTTAAATTATCGGAATCTTAGACCTCCTCCCCCCTCCCCCCACAAGTGACCAAAAAAAAAAAAAAAAAAAAACACACACAAGAGTGATACAGGCAGTTATTTGCTGACATGACGATTGCTATGAGTCATAGGCACAATCAATATCAGTTAGTATAACAATAAAAAGAATCAAGAACTACTAGGAACATTATCTAACAAATTATTCCCTGCATAAGGATAACACAAAAGTGAAGACTTGATACACCCGGAAAGTTTTGAAAATACTGTTAGATAGAACAAACACTGAGGGTGTTATAAACAAGGACAACGGAGGTGACAGATGTTGGCAAGAATGCTAACGCAAACTACCAGCGCACACACGAAGGAACATGATGTTTTAACTACTAAACTTTGCACTTTAGAAGAATGAAAATGCTATTTAAAAAAAAAAAACCCAGATGCTATTGTCATTTAAACATTCAGTCATCTCTTGATCAATGTTCAGTTTTGAGATCAACTTCATCGCACTCGACCATAAGTGCCCTGATCTCCTCCTCGGCCAGGCATTGGAATCAGTAGTGAGCTTTTTAATTGTTTGTCCTACAAATAGTAATTATATATATTTTCCTGTGATGCAGATCGATTTTGTTTTCCAAATACTTTGCCTTAGGCTAAGGAGTTGGACTCGCAGACAAAATAAAATCAACTTGTCGTCTTTTAATAAACGGTTACGTAAATCGATAGGGAACCGTTGGGGACACAAAAAATGTCCAAAGAAAGAACGCAGGTGCTGCATAGCACAAAGCGGGATGAAGTACTGGTCAGGCTATTGAGAAGCCACTATCAAAGGGGTTTGTTTCCTGAGAGTCAACCCATATAAATTAATTGAAGGAGTAGCAATAAATTTACATATATATGTATGTATATAAAATGATACATGCAAATAGCCAGGAGTATACAATATCAGAGGTTCTACAGTAAACCGCTATCCTCTACCCGCCCCGGCAAGGCTCGGCTTGTGTGCAAGAGTGAGGTGACCCTGTTTTAGAATTCTGACGACAACAACATGGCCGACACCGGTAGTCGTGTGTTGTTGTAGAATTGAGTGACCATTTTCGAATCTGATTTATTCTCAAGGAATTTAATAATTTTTTTTGGAGCGTGCAGACATCAAGATGGTTTTCGAGTCAATTGTGGTTGAGTTGGTGAACCGCTATCTTGGAACATTCGTAGACAATTTGGATGCCTCGCAGCTGAGTATTGGATTATGGGGCGGTAAGTAGCCAACTTTCTGTTTGTGGGGTCGGGTACTCACAAATGTCAAATGATTGACTGATTGATTGCCCGTGAATGTTTTATAATGCAGTAGACTACTACTGAGTTTCTTTATGTTTAAAGTTTAATTAAATATTTTTTGCGAGCCAACGCGATGTTTTATTATGAAAGCGTTCAAAAGAATTTGAGTAAACGAAATTCAGTCACAGATCTTGTCACGAGACACAACACAACAGTCAGTGGCTGAGTCAGTCACTGATTAATTCGTAATTATTAAAAGTAATGTAATTGTTTTATTTGTTACTAATTGCCTTTAGTGGCTTTAGTAAATTGCTATGTTTAGGATTAACTCTCTGCAGATGTCAACAAATAACATGTATCTGTAGTCTCCGCTTTATTGTTGCATTCTTTATTTACAGAATCACGTGTCTGTAGGATTAGTTAGGGAAAGAAATTCTCGCTAAGCTAAAGTGAAACTAAACAAACACTTTAACAGTAATCATAAACTCTTCCAGCCCCTGGGAGTTTCTGCTTGATGCCCAAATAAGGAAATTATTGACAATGAGTATATTAATTTCATTTTCATCAACTGTCTTGCAGATTAGCATGCTGTGTCATTCTTCTCGTCTTGTTAACTTCAAGAGAAAATATAGCTTTTCCACAACAAAGCCGGGGCTGGAAAGAATCTTTCTCTCATTGTCTTTGATGATAATCGATAATCATTATCTGTTTTCCTACAAAGGCTTTTCCAGTTGGACCCATTTTTTTTTCTCTCATAATGTAGCCAGAAATGACAAGTAAAGTGCCGCCCTGTGGTAATTATGGTTTGTCTTTCAACATATTTCGATCTCTTGGTTCCACTTAAAAAAGAATTTTTACAGTTCTTTAAAAATCAGTCTTGGGGTCTCAATGTGATTTTTGCTTCTCTTTTGATATTCAAAAATCGAACTCGAAAATAATGAGGAACAAAAAAAAGGGGAAAATGTCGAAATCGACTTGTTAGCGATAATTGAGGCTTTTATATCTGAAAATAGTGGCACAGAAGTTGCAAATAGTGCCCGAAAATCTGCTCTTTGTGGCTGTGGCGCCATTGAAACTCGGCTAAATGTGATCGGTGCCGCATTGGTAACAGTTTTCACCGCTGATAGTATCTCATGCACCGCTACGCGCGGATAGGGGGGCTAAACTAAATGGCTGGGACTCACGAGCAAATAAATTGGAGGAAGTTGCAGGAGATGCGGTAGCTGCTGCTTGTGAGTCCCAGCCATCTAGTGTAGTCCACAGTGAGTTTAATCGAAAAAACACCATCGCTAACCTGCGCTGGGGCGCATGGTCTCCCCGCCATGTTGCTATTATTGTGTGTATTGTTCTGTTTCCTGAAATTGTCAACGGATAGTAATCCTAGTTTTGCCTCGATGTGTTCATCGGAGGAAGCCTACAATTTACATGTGATTTAAGCCCTGTCAGGGTGTGTTTTTGGCCGCCATAATGTGTGGCCGTTATTAGGAGGATAGCCATGTTTTTCCTAGGGAATTTAAATAATGCGGACACAAACAATACATTGCACAATTTATTGTGAAGTATTTCTTGCTACGTCTCGCCAGGTGTGTTATTACAGAGTTGCAACAATACATAGTAAAGCATAAACAAAATTTAATAGAGTCCACTGAAATACAAAATGGTCCCTCGCGATCCATCGTTTTTTTTCTCTAATAGTTCATAAGTCATTGCTGTATGTTAAAACCCATTCTGTATTTTTTGCAAGAGTTCTTTTTTTCAGACCCCCAGTAATAGGGATTAATTACAAACAGTATTCTATTTTTTTCTTTTGCATACTTAAAAGGTGGTTGGCATGTTGTGTTGTAGTTTACAGCTAGACTGTGATTTCTGCACCATTCACCAATTTGATTTCAGCAAACCTGTAATAATTAGCCTTGTATAATAAATATGCTTTTTAGGGCGATACTGGGTCTTAAACCCCTTCTCCCCCCCCCCCTCGATGGGCCCAGAACCCACACATCAATTTATACGCTTGATTGTTTATTCCCTTGATACAACTTATCTTGGTAACAGCTTTGTCATATGACTCATTTTAATGTTCACATTCGAAAGCACCTGGTTTCTTCCTCACCATTACTGAAATAATTATGGATTTTAATATGTTGTTAGTTTTGTACCTACTGTTATAGATGCCACTTAAAACTGATGCTATTAGTTTCATAGCTTCCAGTCATATATGTGTAATTGTCTCTCTGTAATCATTATATGTCTTATTTGAAGGGATATATATAAATATGTGTACATATGTGTATACAGGTCCATATTTAAGAAATGGCAGAGCCACACACAGCAACAAAATTCTAAGAGCAGCAAAATATAATCAGTAGTTAAACATGTCAGCATCTTCATTGAATTTATCATTATGAAAGTTTCATCTTGTGTTGCACATCACTGCTCCATTAGAACCCCAGCTTGCAAATTTGTTTTATCAGTTGTGTATTCCGTTAAGTTTAAATGCTTCAGTACAGTTTCTTCTTGTCCTTGTTGTTCTCCCTGCCAGTAAGTTTTCAGATAAGAAGGCCACAGTCTCTGGTACGCCTGTGTCTTCCACTGTTCAGTGCAGCTTGGCTTCCATTGGAAAAACCAACTGTGCAAACCTAGGATCTCTCTTCTGCATGTAAGAACATGTCTTTAGCACATCCTCGGTATTCTGTGGTGCCTCTTCGCGTGGGCAAAGTTCTGAATCCCCCAGTCTTGAATTTGTACTACGGCTAATTGTTGAGTCTGTGAACGAATATCCTTTATCCGACCCTATGGATCTCTCTGTAGTGCAGTGGCTAGACATAGTCGCTTGCTTGCTGGGTCAAAGGTCTTGGTTTGAAACTGCAACGAGGTGGACTTTTATTATTGACTTTAGCTTCTTGCTCAACCCAGTATTAAATGGCTAGTAAGAAAAGTCAGGAGAAGTAAAGATAGCTGGCATAATTATGATCACATCAACAGTGTAGTGTTTTTCTTCATATATGGCAGTTCTCAGGAACTTTTTTTCATCTCCTCAGTCCATGATTTGCATGGTCCGTCTCTCCTTTAATTCCGGCTTGATCTCCCTTGCAGTGCTACGGTCTCTGTGAAATACAAGTTACATAATCAAATCACATCACTTATTATTTTCTACAAAATTTAAGACGGGCCTGTGTGCCCCATTCTTAACCCTTTCAAAATAAAGTTTTTCGTTCGTTTATTCTATTTCTTCAAGCAGTAAAATAATTCCCTGCTGACTTGCTAGGCCAGTCATCGGTTAAGAAAAGTTAGTTGCCCTGTTGGTGTACAAAATACCAGTTTGGCACCATAAGGCTGATGTGCCACAGACATGAAAGAAGTCATGTACCTTTATTTGTGCGTGAGAGAGAATAATTCTTCAAATTCACCTGCTGTAAACTTCCATGGAAAGTTCTGGTTGTTCGTCCAATTCTGGACTTTAAGTCTTTTTCCAGAAACTGAGTGTTGCTTGTGCATCCGTTTTACACATATGACTCATTTGCATGCAGCTGTTGGTTCTTTGCCTCTCAGGCAGGTGCACTCCAACTTTGAAGAAAGATCCCAATTAGTTGACTCTTACGACATTCTTTTGGATAGGCAGTGGGTCTGTTCTTATTTTCACTACAGAAGGGTCCCCAAATCCACATACAGAGAATAAATAAAGGGCTTAAATTCAGCCCTTCCTAACACTCTCCTTTCACACACCAGTTGGATTTTTTTCTGGAAAGCATGTAATGTTTGTCTCTTGCCCTGTTGCTTACATTGCAAAGTTTCACAGAGAGGAGTTATATGTTGTTTCCTATATTTTGTTCATAAAGCGAAAATAAATAATTTGAACAGAAGGCTGGTAAATGTATGCATTGAAATATACATATATGCACATACACACACGCTTATACTTACAAACATAAACACCTATACATATGCACACTTGGATGCAGTCTTATATACAGATGCATTCACATGTACACATACACACTTACAGACAGACAGGTGGAGGAAGGGAGAGAGATACAATTATAGTTACTGTATTTTGGCGGCAGCATTTAAAAAAAAAAATATCCAGAAACCATGAGTTGTTGAACTCTTAGGCTGGGTACTGTGGCTATTGCAACCCTCTGGCCTTGATTCCATGATGGATACCGTCAATCTGGGAGGAATGTGGCTTTTCTGCTTTTAAAACTTTTGTGCTGAGTGTAAAAGTAAACATTTGATTTGTGCATATTAAACAGAAAGTACAATGTTGTACAGTTAAAGGTTCATATGAGTTGCCATTGTTTTTTCTGCCCCCCCCCCCCACCATTTGTTTTCTGGAACGTTGGTTGCAAATCCATTGTAGAACATTTAAGATTAATCCCAGCATTTGTTAGCGATTTGCGGTTTTACGAGACACACATTCAGTAGTTGACCATTGCTCAAAATTGGGGGCAACCCTATTCTGGAACTCCGCTACGCAGATGACACAGTCCTCCTTTTTAAAAACGTAAAAGGAATAGAACATTTAATATTGTCTGTCCAAAAGCACAGTGAGGATCAAAATCTGTTCTTGAATTTAAAGAAAACGAAAATAATATCCATAGATAAAACTGGCTGTCACCCAAAAATAACAATAAATGATGAAGAAATTGAAAATGTCACAAACTTTGAATATCTAGGCTCTATAATAAATAGCAATGGTGACTGAAAGAATAAAAATCGAAAGCTGTAGTTACCCTGTCGGGAATCGATGCTGTCACCTCCAAATGGTGTGTGTGCCTCGCTATGGAAACATCACGTAACACAACAGACTGTGTATGAGAGATGGTGTATTTCTTCTTTCGTTCGCCTGAAATAAGTTGTCTATATCGGCAATTTTGTCTCTTGTATAAATTTCACTGTTGTTAATTCATTCAGTGGTCCATAGAGTTTACGTTCCACTGTTGTTCTTTCTGGCCAAAAGGTTTGCCTTAATGTGTCAAATT